TACGTAAGCATCAACACTTTGAAGTCGATGCAGAAGCGGATGGGCAGCCAATGCAATGTGGCCAGAGTGGGTGAGATATGCTGGTATTTTTTCACTCCACTAAGTAGTCTAGCCGCCACATTCTGCACCACCTGAAGTTTCCGCAGCAGCCTCAAAGGCAGCCCCACGTAGAGCGCATTACAGTGGTCTAATCTTGAGATTACGAGCGCATGCACCAAGGTAGTGAGCGCCCCAACATTGAGATAGGACCGCAGCTGGGCTATCCGCCTAAGATGAAAAAAGGCGGTATGGACCACCGACACTACCTGAGTTTCCATATTGAGTGCCAGGTCCAGGTATGATCTTTGGGGCAGGTATGATCTTTGGGGCAGTTCTGTTCCACCTTTTGGCTACTTACCGCTCAAGCTGCTGTAGGGAGGTTTTCATAGACTTAACTTGCTGGAAGTGACAAGACATGTCAGTAGCAAGAACCATTTCAATCACAAGCGACCGGAGCTCCCTGTATCGATTAAGAAAAGAGAGAGGAAGGGAAAGATCATGCCCACACACACATTCCTCCTTTTTATTTCAACTTCCTGTGCAACCATTGACACACTCCTTATGGGTACAGTGAGAGTCAAACTAGAGGATATATTTAGTCATATGGCTTTAGAAGAGGTGCTCCCTCTAATGCTGAAAGATAGAGTTGATTTTTCTCACCTTCGTATCTTGCATTTAGCGTGCTTTGTTTTGTGACAGATCTTTGGAAAGAAAACAAGCTTAAATTGTGTATCAGGCTGCTAAGCACCCATCTCTAATGTCTCTCAGGAAATCCCTTCCTGGCAAGAAGAAGTGAATTCCCTTTAAAATCCATCTTGACTCTCAGTGCGCTATCTGAGATTGATAAGATAAGGGAGAATTTGTCCATTTTGTCACCATGAATGGACAGATGTAAATTGACTGCCCTTAAAGCCCTTTGTTTTGAAACCCCAAAGAGATCAATTCTGCTTAAAAACAGGACATAGACTCAAAAGCCCAGGGCAGCGTAAGTAATATAATTACCTTGATGGGCTTCCTAAAGTGCCTCTAATAATGACTAATATCTTTTACTCTACCTCCTCAAGGGCTCAGAGACACCTAAATGATGTGGGAGTCAAAAGAAAATGCCTTCCTGCAACTTGATCTGTTCCCACTGCTAATTTCTCTTCTCCCTGACTCATTTGCCACTAGGAAGGTCTTTGTAAGCTGCCTCTTCCCAGCAAAGTCTCCACGGCTGAAATGTTTCAAACGAGGAGTGTGCTCTATCACTTCCTTCCCCATGTTTTTTTTTGTTCTGCAGACAAATGGATTTCATAGGTGATCCTCCATGATCATCATCAGGCCCCTTGGCAGCTGAGCTATGAGATGAATTCTGTGTAACTCTAAACTTTACTTCCGCCTATAAGTCAAGACAAAAAGAAAGGACACAGGGTTCTTCTAGATGGATGATTCTAATGCGAGCAATCAAACAGCACTTTGTAACTATTCCATCTTTCTCCCCTTTAGAGGTTTTGAATTGTGTGTTTTTTTATATTTTTGTTTGTTTTTGTTTTGGTGGAAAAACAGTAGATGCAGGGTCACCTTTCCTACTTTTGGTTGCCAAGAAAGGCTGTGGAAATGTTAGCCTTGGGTTCATTTAGTTGTTCAGAAGAAAAGTAAATGGAACATGTTCAGTAATTTACAAATAAAAAAAATCAAACATGCAAAAGAGGAAGCACAAAGGATTGAGTACTTCATCCGTTTTAAAAGACTTCATGCTGAATCAGCGCTTCCAGTGTTGAATTGCCAACTGCAAGAACTAACTGGACTTCTGCCCAGGAAACCCTAAAGAAAGGCTTGAATCTGATGCTAAGGCTGAACAATGAAAAACAATGAGCTTCTGGTAATTCCTCCACATAAGGAGCCATAACATATGTACTAGTGCAATGTTTAAAAGACTTCATGCTGAATCAGCGCTTCCAGTGTTGAATTGCCAACTGCAAGAACTAACTGGACTTCTGCCCAGGAAACCCTAAAGAAAGGCTTGAATCTGATGCTAAGGCGGAACAATGAAAAACAATGAGCTTCTGGTAATTCCTCCACATAAGGAGCCATAACGTGTACTAGCACAATAAGTGGAGCATCTTGACCTCCGTGCATGCGCCATCGAAGAAAGGGATGTTCCTCCACAACATACGTGGTCCTAAACAATGGATGTCAGCTAAAGGACAGGCTCACCTCCATGGGCCTCCGGATGTTCTTGGACTACAACTCACAGAAGCCTTCACTACCACCTCTGCTGGCTAGGATTTCTGGGAGTTGAAGTCCAAGAACATCTGGAGGCCTAAGGTTGGGGACCACTGAGCTAAAGGACAGGCTCACCTCCGGATGCCAACATTTCAGGGGATATTCTCTCATGAAGTTGCCCATGCTCTAGCCTTGTTACTCCCAATATGAACTTTGCTTTAGGTGTGTCATTTGGAACTTAGTGAATGAATAGAATGGTGCTTGTTATGGCCAACCAATTAAGAACACCAGAAGTAAAGCTGCTTACAGGGCACTGCGGGAAACCTATATAAACTGCACAAGAGAAAAAGGACACAGGCAGCCTGCCTCACAAGAGTCTGGTGTCATGGATCTGCTAAACAGAGCTTGTTGGATCTGCATGAATCAGTGGCTGAAGTCCTATTGTGTGATGGAAGCAGAATCAAACATTTCCAATGGTTTATCGTGGGTCGATAAAGAGCCCCTGGTGTGATTCTCAGGAGTACGTGTGCATGCTGGCTTGCTGCATGTGTGCCTACGGCAAGCGCTCCTTATTTACCTGCAAGGAATGGACAGAAACGTATGGCTTTGCCTACGTTATACAATGGGATTTCAGCCGATGTGTTTGCTTTGTGCTTCTGCCTTCTAAACGTATTTGATTCTTGCTTTGTATTTTAAAAATTAGCATAAAAGAATGAAGAGAGGCCTTCTCTCAGGGTGTTCCTAACCCCCTCCCCTTTTTTGTGGGCTGCATTTGCTACTTTATATTACTGGGGAAGCCCATGCCTTGGTAAGACCATGATGGAACCTTTGCAGGGTAGCTCTTAGAAAAGCAGGATATGAGCTTATCCAGCTAAATGTGCAGGCTGGAGATAGCAAAATACAGATGGCATATCTTGGGTGAAGATATAAAAATTGGCCATGCGCAGTAGGGAAAATACTAGCAGGTTACCAATGGAAGATATCACTGTTTGGGCTCCTCAGGTCCTTTGCCCCACCATTTCTTGCCATAAGCTAGAGTTTCTGGGCATTGAAGCCCAAACCATCTGTTGGGATGAAGAGCCCCTCCTAGCATTGAGTATCCCTAGACCATTCACTACACCCACATGCCTCTTATACCTATTATAGTTTCCAGCAAAAACATCTGGATTCCCAGAACTCATTGTTTGCATACAACAGCAGTGTGTGGTCCACTGGACATGGGATTCTGGAAGGTTTGTCTAGAGAGACCTTTGGCATCTTGGTTGACAACAGAGTTTTCAAACTGCCTGCCTTACTCTCCTTTAAGGTTCCCTTCCCCATTCCAGGCCAACATCCTCCTTAGCTAGGGTGAGTCCTAGGCTTCCCTTAGAGTCGGGATCAGCAGACAGGAGAAAACAAAGCCTCACGAGAATTCATCCTTGGTCAGGTTGACAAGGACATTCATCTCATCATCCTGCATCATGCGGAAGACGGCGCTGATATGGTGATTCTCCAGCACCGAGCGGTCATTGTACAAAATGGCCGTGTCTGACCTGGGAGAAAGAGAAACAGCAGATTTTAACGTTGGTTTGAGAAATAGTCTTGCTCTTGTTTTGGTGATTGCACCCCCAGCCCCAACACACTTGTCCCCAAGTCCAGGTGGGCAGTTGTGCGAGCTCACATTGGCCCTCACAAGAGTCATCCCATGATCAAAAGAGACTACATGGGAAAACCAACCTCTGTGGTCTTGTACAGCCTGCGTGGCTTGACTTCCATGCAGACTTTAAGTGGCTGCTATGGATTCTATAGCGATCCACATAAAATCTGGCTTGCTGGATAGCTCAGTGGTTTACAGTAGCCATCTGACTGCAAAACCAGAGGTTGGGAGTTTGATTCTCCACAGTGCCTCCTGTGAGTAGTGCCAGCCTGGGTGACCTAGCTGCAAAGTCCCAGGGTAGCTCCAGAAGAAGGGGAGGAGAAACGACTTCTGAGTATTCTCTACCTGGGAAACCCTAAGAGGAGGGTTGTCGTAAGTCAGAATTGACTTGATGGCACATGAGCATTATTATTATTATTATTATTATTGTTGTTGTTGTTGTTGTTGTTGTTGTTGTTGTTGTTGTTGTTGTTGTTGTTGTTGTTGTTGTTGTTGTTGTTGTTGTTGTTAATATGAGTTCTACAGTTCTTTTACAAGTTCTCTTCCCTCCACAGTGAAACTGCAGACTGAAGTGGCAAGCAAAGGAAGATCTTTCCCAACCATAGGTCACCCAGTGTTGTTAGACTATAACTCCTACCATTCCCAGATCATTAGGCATTGTAGGCTTTGTAGTCAAACCACATCAAGTCTACAGAAAGTATTGGGGAGTACGCATTTTCAAAACTGGACCGTATGTTTTAGGGAGAGAACAAAGGCTATGCCTCCACAGCTAAGAAGAAACACAGCAAGCTGCCTTCACAGGGCCTCCCCTATTATCCACTACCTTTAACAGAAGCTATCAGGAATAGAACCTGGGAGCTTCTGGCATCAAAGCACATGCTCTGCTATGGAGTGAGCAATGTTTTGGTAACCACTATCCTAAAGGACACTCACACATTTCTACCCGTGCTTCTGCATACTCTCTCCACGGCCTCTCGTACTCACTTGGTTTGGATGTGGAAGCTGTTGGTGGTACCTGTGTGCTCATAGTCATGGATGGCAGCTGCAAAGATCATAGCCAAGACTTCTATCTCTGCAAGGCAATGCTAGGTGGGAAGCAAAAACAAAATACATTGTCAGACAACGCACTTGGAGAGGCGGTGGGGGTGGGTTGCTGTGGGGCAACTTTCTTGTCCAGCCACATAAACGGGGTTGGGAGGATTTAAGCAGGTTCAGCAGAATGAGCCACAAATACAAACCCCTCTAGTTTCCCATGTCCTTGTATGCCACTCCTTATATGACCAGTTTAAAAAAATTTAAACTATGTGCTAATTAAAGTATAATTGAATAACTAAAAGCAAATAAACACTATCTTAACTTTACAAAGGCATTTGGGGACTCAATCATAATTGTTAACTAAGTAGTCACACCTCTGTCTCCTTTTCTGACAACCGGAATCAACGAGAACCTGCTGTGTGAGGCAAAAATGTGACTATGCCATAAGCTAGGACTGGCCTTGACTGCTTACACAATGGAAAGATTTGAGTGTGGACCTGTATATAACTCATTAAGTTTTTTATTCTATTCTTTTTAATATTGTGAGCCACCTTAGGTGCCCTTATCGGGAGAAAGGCGGCCTATAAATACAACAACAAATAATAATATATATGTTATTACAGCGATTTTCTGCCACAGGCACCTAAAACAAGATGGCTCGCCTTGTGTTTTACATGCTTTTGGCTTGGCTAAGTCAAAGACAGCATTTCCTGCTTGACCTCAGGTATCAAAATGTCTTAGGTTGGATCTGGAAGCAGTTACTCTGAGAGCTAAAGGCTTTCACTTGTTTTACCCACAGAAAAAAAGTATATTGTCAAATCTCTGTTTATTGTGATTTCCTGCATTTTGTCAAGTCAAGGAGTCCCAATGATACCCCTAGCACCCCAGGACCTCCTCAGATGAGACAAAACTTCTCCCAGCTCCTGCATTTTTGTCTCTTTTTTTTCTTGCCATTTGTCCTGCACAGGATAGCATCAAATCCTATACAGGAAACAAAACAAATCATGTGTAGGAAAAACAGTGCAGTAACCACTAGGTGGCTGCAAGATCATGTTTTGCATAGATTTTGGATTTTATCTGCACAGGATTTGAATGTTTCCTTTTTAAAAAACATTTTACTAGTTTTTCAATCTATCTACATTCAATTTGTGCTTGTTAAACATCGTGTTACATGGGTTGCTTATAATTATTTGTTTTTTGAATCTTGGTGTCTTCTTAGTTGTCTCTTCAAATCTCTACATTTTCTAAACATTTAGCCCATTCATATGTCTATTTTAGTATACAATATTGGCTACTATCATAATATTGCTCTCATAGTATACAATGTTCTCAAATTCCGGTTCCAAGTTTATATAATTTAAGGTGATTTAACCGACAAACTTTGTATTTTATACCAATAATAACTGAATATGTTCCTAACACATAATAGATGTTATCTGAAGCATTTTATACAGATTTCCTTTATATACTTGTTTAGCCATTTCTATCTCCATATTTTCTATCATGTCTGTATGAATATATCTAATGTATGTTCATTAAGTACTATTTGTTTTACTTCATCCTTATATCTACCTTCAGTTTACCTTAAGAACCACCATGTCTTTCCCTGTTTAGTGATCCCTTATTTTCCTGATTAGTGATCCCTTTAATTCCTAGTACTAATATATAGAATATGCCCCCTTATAATTCCAGAAGTTAGGCATATACATGCTTTTAACATTGAAGGCCACCTTAGTATTTTTTTTCCTTTTTCTTCTTTCTAAGTAACTCCTCTTACGTATTTGTCTTTTCCCAATTCTTGTTTCTATCTCGCTAAAGCTTTTACCGTGCCTTGTGCCACCTGAGAACATTTTATCCATTTGATTGCTCTCCAATAGATCTTCCAGGTTCTTTTTAATTAGATCTGCTGATTCTCTCCCCTTATCTTTCCTTAGCACCCCTAAAATTCTCCTTAGCTCCAGGGTTAGACTTAAATCTCCTAGGTTTTCTCCTCTAATTTCCTCCAGCCCTTCTTTTGATTGGCATACATCATCCACCACCCTCCCATTTCCTTGTGCATTTTCCCTGTCTCCTGTTAACTATAGTTCTTCTTCAGCTGCTCCTTGAATAATTTTGCCTCTTCGTTATGGGATCTCACTATTTCTAAAATTGCTTTAAGAGTAGATTTTGTTTCATCCCAAAATTGTCCTTGTTATGGCATTATGTCCCAGATGTCAAATAATTGTATTCCAAGTGAAAATTGTCCAGATGCTTAAGGTAATCAGTCCAGTTCCATCAATACTTGCTTCCATAGGTCCACTTTAATAGATTGATCATATTTAGGGTTAAGCTTGAATCCAGTCTCAGATGTAGAGAGTTTTCCCCGCCTAAAGGCTCACGGTCACGTCAAGTTCAGAACTCAGGATACAGTTTAGAAATTCCACTTTGGCTGGATCAGACTTTCTAGGGTTAATTTATCTGTAGTTCAGTTCCATCCTCAAAAAGAAAGGGAATTCCAAACAGCCATAAAGTGTTCAAGGTCATTGACATTAGGCTTTTTGCCAGCACCTTAGATAGCTGCTACAAGTAGCATAAACAGGTTTATTTTTCAGAGTTGTTGCCAATGGTGTTTTCAGGAGAAAGATTCTTAAGCTTATAACGACAAAGTAATACCAAACTTCCTTACCTGATGTACAATTAAATATCTAATTAATACCCAATTTATTTTCCTTTATTTCCTTCTGTCTCCCTGCATCTCTTCCTCTCTCTAGACAGAAATTTCTGCCGTAGGAATTGTCTCATCCAGGGATAGTAAAGCAATACAGTAAAAAAAAATTCACCCAGTGATAACACAATGTTAATTAGGCTGATTTATTAATTCTCCATTGCCAGCTGCTGATGATTTGCAAGCAAGCTAGTTCAGCTGCTTGTTTCTGCCTGCTGGTTGATTGGGGAGTTTCCCGGATCAAACGTGGGTAACCGCCGTTCCCCTTGTGATCAACAGGCTTCTCCCCCATAACCCCCTGGGGGAGTCCCAAACAGGTCAGGGTTCAGTCCAGGGGACAGAGCTCTGACCTCCTGCTGCGGTCTCGTCACAGCATCAAGCCAGAAGGATTTGAATGTTTCCTGTGCAGGATTTGGGAGTCTGCTGCAGGTTCTACATATTGTGATGGAAGAAACTGGAAGGACTCTTGTACATGGGGTGAATTGCAACTCTTGTCTACAAATGTTTCTGTTACAGTCAATTTAATATGTGTTTGGGGTGCCACAAAATTGTAAATCTGCCTGCAGTGGTCATCCAGAGAAATGACTATATTTTGGAGCCTCTCTTCCAAGTTCTAGCACTGTGGAAAACCAAGGGCTCAGGGAGTTGCTCACATTAAAGATTCCTGTACAGATTTTCTTCCAGCGAATTTTCATAATATATGACTAGGCTCTGGAAATAACCTCTCATTCCTGGGTTGGCACTATGTGAACTGCTTTAGCCTAGGTGAAAAACCAGTGTGTTCTAGCACATTTAGTGAAAATCATGGTTTCTTTTAGTGATTTTCTGGAATTCTTAGCATCAGAACAGCAGAACATCTTTTTCAGCATACAATGAAAAAGCTTCTCAGCTAGAGAGCTGGTTGGTGGAATGTACAGTTAAGGGGCTAGTCCACATGATGCCCTTACCACCATGCCAGTGCGGAGCAGGAAGCAGTGTACAGTCTGGGTGACATCAGCAGCGTGGATCTGGTTGTGATAAGGGTTCTTGTATTTTCCATAGCCAGCCTCCAGTGCATCCAGGAAGGTCATGAGGTAGGCTGTGGGGATCTAGAGAAGGAGGGAAAGGACAACACGGCATCAGCGAAGATCTGGAGAGGGGAATGGCCTAGAAGGGGTGAAGGGGTGGGAGAGAAGCGGAGGGGAAAGGAAAAAGAGAAAGTAAAATGGGCAGACAGAAAAGGGACATCAGGAAATCAGAGAGCAAAGTCGGGTCCAGACAAGGAGAGAAGCAAAAAGAGAGAGAGCAAAGGGGGCATCACTGAAAAAGAGAGAGTACAAAGTGTGTCTCAGAGAGGGGGGGGAACAAGGTATCAGAAAGAAACAGAAGAGGCTGCCTCAGAAAGAAGGGGGTTGGGGGGGGCAGGGGGATGAGAGAAAAGTGACTGACCCTGCTCACTTTGGGCTCTGGCCCAGTCTGACTGCTGCCAGGATGCAACCCCTATCAATAAACCTGTTAAATGACATGCCTTCAGGTGAGAACCGACTTATAGCAGCCTTAACAGGGCTTTCAAAGTAACAGATATTTAAAGAGTGGTTTTACCACCACCACCCCCCCCCGGTGAGCTTCCATGGCTGAGCAGAGATTCAAGCCCAGGCCTTCTGAGTCCTAGTTCCTCATTATATCCACGACAGCACACAAGGTCTCCTCTCCAATAAGGTTCCCTTGCACAAATGTAGCCGTTGGCAGGAGAGAAAAAAAATGGTCTTCACTCCTGCTGTAAAGCAGCTAATCATCATAATGTAGTTGTAGCTCAGAGCCATTGCCTCCCTCCTCCTCCATCACAATTCCTAACCCTTAGCCACAAAATGACTTTAAGCATGCACACAAAGCAACACACAACTGCAATGCACTTGCTCTTACCTTAAAGCGGCTGTTGAGATTGTGACGGGTGAGCAGCTCAAAGACAATGGTACGCAAGGCATGGTCCTCGCTCACTTTGTTCAGTGCAAAGACATCAAAGAACCAGAGGTCGAGAGTCTACTCAAGATGAAGAAAAGAAGCAGAGGTTCATCATATAATCATCACACAGGTACTGCAGAGAAGAGACCCTATGATTACTGAGTCCACCCCTTGTCAAGGAGGCACAGGGGGGAAATCAAACTCCCAACCTCTAGCTCCATAGCCAGAGACCTCAACCATTGAGCTACCCAGTTGTCTCTTACAGGTGACTGTCGTCCTTAAGCTGGTCTCTTTACAGAGAAATTGTCCCCCCCCAAAAAAAAGGAGAATTCTAAAAGGATGGCTATGGAGAAGGCTTAATATAAACCAGGACATCCTTCTCCACTCAGTCGTGGAGTATGCATAATGAAATTAAGAGCAAATATGTACATATCCTCTGAGTATGTGCAAAGAAAATTTCCCTTCTGGAACAACTAATTGTAGGCGGACCCTGAATATTATGTATTGGTGATTCTCAATCAGAAACATGGCTCTCAGAAAAAACAACCATCTCTCTTGTTTAAAAACAAAAGCATTGTACTGTAAGGGGAACAAATAATGAAGTTTGCTTGAGTCATTCAACAGAGAATTAGTTAAAGATCTGGGTAGTAATAATAACAGCTTTGATAAGGCTAGGAGCAGGACAAAAGTACCAAGTGATAGACGGGAGCAAAAGAAACCAAGCTGCAATTTTACACACCCTTAGCAGGGAATAAGATCCCATTAAACTCGGTGGGGCTTAATTCTGAGCAATAACAATGAGCACAAGATGGCAGTCCTGTGACTCAAGTGTTCTCCAGTAAGATTGTTACCTTCAGGCAGTTGATGACGGAGGGAGAATGGTTGGGCCCCACAGCCGTGTACGTCCGACGGAACATCCTGCAATGCAGATAATATCTAGTTATCTTGTCCCTGAAACCTCTGGATCACTTACCCACGGCCACTGTCTCCCAGTAAACAGACAGCTTTCCATGTTCTTACAGCTGGACATAACTATTTCAAATTGCTTGGATCCCAAACCCTTTAACCCCTTTGCTAGGATCTAGAACTTGGAGAAACTGTGGTGGTGTTTTGGGGTTTTTTTGGGGGGGGATGGCAGATCCCAGATCCCCCATGGATTACTATTTCATCGTTCAGAAATAGAGATTTCACAAGCTCTGCCAGGACTTCCAGTCTTCAGTCTTCTAGATGGAAGCTTTCCCTTTAAGGGGGGATGGGGGGCTCCCTTTAGTTCAGGAATGGGCAAAGGGCTGCCTTTCAGGTGTTTGTGACTACAATCCCCATGACCATTGGCCACGTTAACTGGGATTTATGGAAATTGTAGTGGCACGAGGCTGCCTACTCATATTTTATATTTTATACTTTGTATATTATTTTCATCCACACTATATCTATCTGGATAGTTTTCCACCACCACTCTCTCTCCTTTTCTCTCCCCCACACCCACCTTCTCCTTTCCCCCCTTCCCATTGCAAAAAAAGAATGATGTGCCCCAATAAAGTCATCAGCACAAAGCTGTTGTGTTCATGCCCTGCCCATTAAATCAGAATGAAGTGCCAAATAGATGGAGGAGCAACGTTCACTTGCCACACATTGTTCATATACCACACATCACCAACGGTGTAGTGCTAAATGCAAATTTGCACCATGACAGTTTCTATAACTGATCATAGCCCCAAGAGGCCCTAAGAATTTGTGTGGATCCATATGACTAAACCAGTTCTCATAGTTTTTTATCTCCACTAGAAGCAGGTCTTTTGTAAAGCTAATGGGTCTTAATTTAGAAATCTCCCATTCAAGAACAAGCCACTGCAAAATCCTTGGCTTGACAGCAGGAATATCTCACATCAATGTATTGTTTCCGAGACCATTTCGCCCCCGCTACTGTGAGAACTGTAACTAATCTCGAAAGAGAGGAGGAAGCCAGTGAGCAGTGACAAATGTTACCTTCAACTCATTAATGAAAAAAAAAAGTCACAGCACTTGGAGCACTTCAGCTCCCACTCTGTTGCTCCACCGCACCGCACCCCGATCCCTAGCAGGTAAGAGGATAAGAACAAGATCCAGACCTCTCAACAAAGATGCCAGCTTGAACAGCATGGACAATGCTACGAAACTTGGGCTTCTCCTCAGAACGGCGCCCCTTGGCACGTGTCTGCTGGGTGAACGTGGAGGCCAGCCAGTCCCGCACCTCCGAGGGAACCGCATCAGACTTGATCTCCTGGAGTTCATCTTCCGTGTCCAGGATCTGCCTGAAACAGGAATAATAACAGGGAGGGAGGGAAAAGACAGACAGTAAGCATTTCAGGGTGAATGGCACTGCAACGGGAAAGAGAACAGCCATATTTAGATGACATAAAAAATAATATATAATTTGGCCACATTTTCAAAACTGAAATATAAAAGAATGAACCTTAAAGTCATGAGTCTATATGATACAGTTTATGGGATCCCAGACTGTCAAATGCAAAATCACAAACAGCATTCAGCCAGCAGCGATTGGGTTCTTATTCTGGAGCAGGGAACACACACCCCTCCAGATGTAACATCACGACTACTATAGGTGGTCAGGAAGGAAGTGACACCACTTCCATTCCAGTAGAGGGGAAATCAGGGTGCTTGGGGAGCCAACCTTGCTCTACGAGGGAGTCACTCTTGTCTTCGTTTTGGATTTGAGGGTGGACCATCCAGCTGAAAGCCAAGCTTTGGACGCCCTATTGAGTCCAGAATCTTACCTTCCTCCCTCCCTGCTTGTCTTGTCTGCATTCCCACAGTTGGGGGGGTGTGAGGGCTGGAATCACAGGCTTGCAAGGGAGATAGGGGAGGTGTCCAGATGTTGTTGAGGGAGGAGGTGAGACTAGCATGCAGGGCAAATTAAGACACATTGAGACTCTAAGCCATCTCAAGCTTAGGAGGCCCCACAGCATTACTAGAAAAAGTAGTGTGTTAGTTTTACTGATTATTTTTTCTTTGCATTTGTGTATGTCTTGGTTTGTTTTCGTTAAGAAGTCCAATACAAGCCACTTTGAGTCCTTTTATGTGCAACTGTGCTGGCCACTTTCAGAGTTCTGTGTTACACTCCCTAATCTACACTAAACCACGTTCAGTTGTACATGTGTGTGCATACTTGTTTGTGTGTGGCTCCATGCTTGCTCCACCCCACTCTTTTGCACCTGGCTCTGGCTAGTGCACCTCATGATTTCAGTGAAGAAAATATAGAATGGCATGGATCCCACAAGTCTGGAATCTCATCATCCCAGTTCTACTCATATAGACCGCCTTACGTGTCAAACAGTCTCCTTGGACCAGCAGCTTCCAAAAGGACTTGGTCTCATCACAGGGTACTTCAGCACTGGCATATCTCCTGAACTGCACTTAGAGTAGACCCACATGCAGGCATCTGAGCCCCACAGTCTCACCTGGTCTCATCGATGTAAACAGCTTCAAGCAAAGAAGCAGTATACTCCAAGTTCTTCTTCAGCTCCTCGATATTCACTTCTCCCGTCTCCAATTGTTTCACCATGTATCGTAGCCTGGGGGGAAAAAATCACAAGAAGGGAGAAATGAGGAAGGCAGAAATTGGTGGCACTCTGTGGGTATGTTATTCCTCTCATCACCATATTCCTCTCATCACCATCTTCTGGGAGCAAATGACGGGCAGTGGGGGGAGTGAAATGGAACTATCTGAAATCCTTGACATCTACCTAAATGAGCTCATTTAGATCAAAGATGGTGAAGAGATGGTCTTTCAGACGGCTGAAGAGCAGCCTAACAAGAGAGTCATGCTAATCTTATGGGTCTGAACACATGGACCATCAGCTGAAAACCTTGAGGTCTGAACCTACAGTCATCACCACAGGTTGTATGTCCCCCCATCTAGAGAAGAATAAGCAAGACACACTCCTGCCCACCAGCACACTTGCAACCAAAACAAAAACAAAAAAGCCTTCCAAAAATACAAATTAGCTGTAAGCATTCCCTTGTGCCCTCCAGAAGATGTGGGGGACATTTTCCCCTGTGTTTTGAAGCCACACCTGAATTTTTCTGGATTCCTTCGCCTACTTACTCCAAACAAGTTATCTCTACTTTAACAAACATTTCTGGCCTCTAGAGGGTGCAGGAGTGGTTCCATTAAGCCACCTATGTTTACACAAAAATTTAAGGAGCCCTGGAGTCACAGAATGTGTGGCCCCAAACTTCTGGAAACTGCCCACACCTGATCTAGAAAGACTAGGTTCACGAATTAGCCAAAACAGAGCCTCTTCAGAAACAGCAGCCCAAGCGAAGAATAAGCGGTGGCTGATGGGGGTTCCTCCCTATTTGGTTTTAGAGGGTCAAAATCAAGACAGCTCATGGCCCCCAGACTTTTAACTGCTGCTTAATTTCCTCTCTCTCTTTTCATTTTAAAACTACTATATTGTTGAGGGGACCTTTTATCGTTGTTGTTCTTGTATTTCTTAGCTTTATATAACATTTTTCATACCTTCATGTATTAGATACAACTCAGAAATGTAACATATAACTCACTAAATAAATAAATAAATATGCAAACTGCTTTTACATGTTAGTGAGTGCAATCTAAACATTAAAAAAATCCAAAGGCCACTTGTACTAGAGAAAAGCAGTTTCAAGAAGTGGAGTCCCGAAAGAAAAAAATAATAATGGAAGAGGCAGCACAAAAGGAGTGAAAAAATACACATGCACCTCAGAAATCCTCAAACAGATCACTTCCTCCCAAAGCCACCTTGCCTAAAGGAGATGGCTGCTTCTTGCACAGATTTCCACTTACTCATCCCAAAGACCAGCCCTAGACTGTAGAATGATTTTTTAAAAAAAGCTCCCTTCATCCTGAAGAGTCACTCCAGCTATTAAGCCACCCTTTTTGCCTTCCTTAGAAAGGGCCGCTCAGCAGAAGAAGAACAGCAGGATCATTAGCATCCAGGAAGGATGTTGTGAAGTGGGGTCTCCCAGCTGCAGTAAGAGGAAACGATAAAGGCCACTATGGCACTGTGGTTCAAGTGTTTCACGGAGGGCATAAATCAGATGGTGCCAATACGCCCCATGTAGTGTGCAAGGGAGGGTGAGCTGGGTGAGGAGTTGATAGGACAGAGGTTAAGGCCATCCTATGTGTGCACAGCAATTCCGATCCATATGGCATCCATGCTTATTTAAACAGTCCTCTTTTTCCTATTACAGTATAAACTAAGCAATAACATAGATCGGGGGCCACTGGGCCCTTCTTTGTGCAGAATCGTTGTTGTTTTTAAAGGGAGGAAGAGCTTCAATTGGTGTCCATAGAGGTTTTTCTCTCACAGGCCCTTTTTATTAATTTTTTTAAGCCCCAACAGCTTGTGAGAGAAGGTTCAAGGCTTAACATTTAAACCCGCCTACATGACACGAAGGAAAACTATGAGACAATGAGAGTCTCCTACATCGTGGCCAGAATCCTCTCACTGTTTGTGTGATGCCTGCTTAACTTGCTGTGGCTAAGTGCAGCTATTTGACAAGGTACCAAGTCATGTCTCAGTCACATTCTCGATCGCACACCCAATCACACCACATAGATAGATCCACACCACATGGTCAATTAGCCACAATTAGCCATGACAAGTTACACTAATTTTATGTGAACACCCTTCGGACTTTGGCCACTGATGGGATGGGCAACTGTGGTCCTCCATACCTTTTTGTCCTACTCCTCCCTGGAGCCCATGGCCAACATAACCACTGGTGAGTGCTTGTGGGAGTTGTGTTCAGCAACATCTGGAGGGCTACAGGTGCCCCAGTCTGATTTACTTCACGAGACATCCAAATTCAGCCCCTGATTCCATATGAAATTTGCAGGCTTCTTCTGAACTAAATGATCTTGCTCTTTGCCTGAGCTACCTCAAAGCGCTAATGTAAGATTAAAATAGAGAGACTCTGAATGCCATCCCAATCTCCTTGGAAGAAGAGCAAGACTGGATGTATTGCACAAGGAATATAAAATATAGTAATCAGTAGCTCCTCTACCTAATCTCAGTTGCCATTTCCTCAGACTTTTGCCTCACTGCAACCTAAGGTGCCCAGGAGCCAAACTTAACAATATTTATTTATTTATCTATTTATCTATTTATCTATTTATCTATTTATTTATTCATTCATTCATTCATTCATTCATTCATTCATTCATTCATTCATTCATTCATTCTTTCATTCATTCATTCATTCATTTATACCCCGCCCCTCTAGACCATGTCTATTCAGGGCAGCTTACAACATTAAAATCAATATAAAATATATATAATCATTAAAAATACAATTACTATATTGTATTTATATATATAACTACAATATATGTATTATACTATATATAACAAGCTTTTCAGTGTTTTTTCAACATGGCACCAGATTTGTCCTGTCTGATCAGAACATCAAAAACCCTATTTGGTTCTCCTCTGTCCAGGCTTCATGTGTAATACTAAGGTGTAATGCTACAAGATGCATGAAAGCTGGTACCATAGCTAATCATTGTGTTGCTTCACTCAACGTGTATAGTACCTACCTGTCCTGCAGGGGGCTCTCTGACATTGTGAGCCAGCCCACCACAAAACCCACGTGAAACACAATGCCTCACAATGCCTCTCGGGCCAGCTGTTCGCATATTGCTAGTTAATAACAGGCCATCAAGCTCAGCTGGGAGTTTGGTCCCTAACATTTCCATTTCTGATTAATCAGTCTTATTGTCATGCATGGAAGCTATAACAGGAAAACACCCACACCTTGTAACCCTTCAGAAGAACCAAACGGAGGGATCATCACAGCATAATTATGCTTTAATGAAGCCAGGGAAAATGACACATGCCATACTTTGCCATTTCCTGAGGAAAATAATATCACCCGAAGACAGGAGTGAGAAAGCCATCATGTTCCATGTGGTTTTGTTTTTGTTAAATCCTGACTCCCATCATTTCTGACCACTGAACACATTGGCTGGGACAGATCCTTATTGTGGTGGCACAATAAGGTCTAAAGAGGTAAAGTTTCCCCAGTTGCCTCTTAAGAAAGAGACAGGGATACCACCAAAAAAAACCGGGAGGCTCTCAGCAGAATCCCATTCGCTGGCCAACCTTCGCCCTCCACCCAGTTCTTCAGGCAAGCAAAGAACGGCAAACTCAGGTGCCTGGGGCAGCAGCGCAAGAGAGGATGAGCCAGAGAGGAAAACCTCTTGCCTGAATCCCTTTGTGTTTCCGGGAATGCTCAGTCCTGCTCTCAGACAAAGACCCTCATTTTGATGGAATGGAAAATTATGCCTCTCCTCCTGTATTCATTTCCACTGAATGATGTGGAAGGCAGTACAATGTTGCTGCAGCTGGCCACCTTCTCTTTTTTTATGGGGAATTGTAGGTGGATGATAATTCAACAATAGGAGCAAATGACAGGAGATGCAGGGCTCCTGATAGTTAAGAATCTCTCTTGAATGTCTGGAGATGGAAAGGAAGCTGAGAGGAGGGGCCAGAGAGAGGGAGGGGGGGTGAACAGTCAAACACAGATATGCACCGGACAACTTTTGCTAGGTTTTTCACTGGAGAGCAACACAGAGAAAAATAGGTAGGGATTCTAGCTGTTGCTGGTAAAAGCTGAGTATGGCACAGGCCGGACAACATCAGGATGGGCTGGTTCACTCCTTTTCCCAGCAACCACATGAAGTATGTGCCATTGTGAACCAGCTCACCTTGATTTATGCCCACCTGCATCTTTCTAGGTCCCTGTGAAGAGCTACTTTTGGGATGGGGGCATGTGTAGGATCACTCCATTTTGGTTCAGCATGTGTGATCACTGGGACTGAACCAAAGCAGCTGGCTAGCTGTTTCTTTGATGAAGAGGTTTAATCATTGCGAGAAATTGGAAGGGTCCTTTCCCTTTAAAGCAGTTGGTTCCCAACCTCAGGTCCCGAGATGTTCTTGAACTAAAATTCCTAGCAGCCTTCACCACTAACTGTACTGACCAGCATTTCTGGGAGCTGTAATCCAAGAACATCTGGATTATCAAAGGTTGGGACCCACCACTTTAATAGGAAAGAAGATTGGACTTCGAGTTAAGCAGGGTTGCTTGAGGTGTGATTGATCCTTCCATGTGGATGTAAGGATCATCCCAAGTGACATTCTGCACCTCAAAGCAACCATATTTAGCATCATCTAGACTTATCTAGGTCATGATAATTCAGATGTCTGTCATGCCACAACTTTCCCATGTTCTGTGCAGGAGTGCCCCTGTAGTTCCATCAACATTCTGCTGGTACATGTCTAAAGTAAGCCAATATTACAAAGACATCCTTGCTCTCTAAGCCATCTCATCCAAAGGAGATGAAACCTGGCAGCACTGCCCTTGGGAAGTTATCCTTACTAAATTGTTAGGGAATAGCAAGATTGAAAGGCTGCAAAGCAACAGGAAAACAACCTCCTTGCCCGTATATTTGACCTCAAATGCTCAAGCTGGAGATACATCAACACAAAATCTATTAATGCAGACACACACATTGGCACACGTGAAT